TCACACAATAGGAAAGCACAGGGAATAGGAATAGGGAATAACACAGGCAACAGAAATAACTAAATTCCAACTTACCAGAAACCGTGCATCGACGCACAATGGAATATGAAATAGGTAATAGGAACAGAATATCCGACGCGTTGGATTTCTGTTCCCTATTCCCTGTGCCTGACCAATCACAGTTGAGACTCTGGGACAGGCACGTGGTTTAAAGAACTTTGCAGGTTATAGTTTTCGTAAATACTTTTGAAGTGCAAACGCTATGTCAGCGATGTATAATCACGAATATTGCAAATTGAACAGAGAATTCAACACATCGATAGAGGCTGACGACATAGAAGAAGACGAGATAGCTAATATTGATATAGAATGTATGCAAAGTGAAAAAGTAGGCGACGAATTGTTAATAGATCTTGTGAGATCTCGCCCATTTCTATATGACAAAAGTTTGCAAGAATATCGTGATCCGAGCATGAAGGAAAATGCATGGACAGAGATCTCTTCTGTCATGAATATGTCAGGTAAATATGTATATATGTATACATATATATGTATGTGTAAGACTTCTCTACTAAAATTTCCTGTTGCTTATATCTAATTCTATTTTTGTATAAATGTTTATTGTAGCATCAGAGTGTCAAACACGTTGGGTTCGTCTTCGCCAACGTTTTAGTAAAGAAAGACAGCAGCGAGAGCTGGAAACAAGAAGCGGAGCAGGCAAACCCACGAGGCAAAAATGGTTTCTATTTGATAATCTAAATTTTTTGAGCCGAGTTGTCTTTCAGAGAAAGTGAGTCTTAGTTTTCATTACAAGAATGATTATAGTTGACACAGAATAATACATCTATAATATAATTGCACAATAGACTGTGTCATATTTAATTTATATTGTTGAGTGCGAAATTATAGCATAGATGTAATTTGTGTAATGTAACTGATGCTGTATATTGACTGGGATATTTGTTTATGAAGAACTTTCATGATTTTAGAAGTCTTAGTAATGTCGGTACAAAAGTCAATATGAATCAAAATGTTCAAAACGAATGTTACCAGGATGACATCAACGTTACGGTGGGAGAAGTTATTCTTTTTAAAAAATTACATTTAGTTAGTTAATCTTTTTATTCACTAAGTGAATTCTTTTTAGCCAGCGGCATCGATGGTTTTGCAAGCACCAGTATGTTCGCCGTTACAGCAATCCACTCCTTCGCCATTACAGCAATTAACTACTTCGCAGTTACAACAACCACCTTCGCCGATGTTAAGATCAATGAGGATCCGGCAACGACAAACTAAGGACAGGTGGCAGCACCGAGATGCTGACCTAACGTCGGATTGACTGCTGCAGCGGCAACGCGCGCGTTGCAAGTTTTTTCACGTTTTACAGTTATCACCTATCTTTTCCTTCTCTCTGGGTCTTTTGGAAACTCGTGTCCACCCATATTAGAACATTTAAACACGCAGCACATAGGCATTTTGTTTTTACCCTGGCAAAAATAAAACGTTTCACAAGTGCTTGTATATAGCGTTTGCAGGAGTTCGTTGAGAGTTTAGAAACGGTCAATAGAGAATTTGTAGAGCGGAAATTGCAACGCTGCGGCGTTTAGAAGACGTTTGTATATAGCATTTTTGAACTTAGCTTTGTAGAACTTTTATGAAACGTTATACACAGTATTTTATAAACGTTCTGAAAGCGTTCAAAACGCAGCGGCGTTGTGTAAGCATTCTCATAAAGTTTGAAAGCG